GTGGGCAGGACATGTGAGTCTGATTACACAGTGTAAATCCGTAAATAATTCTGAGAGGCCCCTCCTGGTCACAAAGGCTCTACGAGATCAGACAGGGTTTAGGGGCCTGGGGCCTTCTGTCACTTCTGGGCTACATAGATGGCAGTGGTGCTGACTATAGCCATGGTGTGGGTGAGTGATAAAATAAAATGAAGAACATTTATTGTACTTTTAAAATACAATGCATTGTTTAATTTGATAGAGTCATTACTAGATTAAGAGTCTACAGCCATGGTGAGGTTATAGGCACAACAGTGTTTTGAGCAAGATGCTAAAATGTTTATGTTTACCATATTAATCATCTAAGTTTATTCTTTGCTAATTAGCACTAAATAAAAAGTCAGGGGATCAGTAAAAGTCAGTCAGTAGAATTCATTGTCAGGAGATCATGAGGTTTGTCCTAAATTTTATGACAATTCAACCAATAGTTGCACATTGAAATTGGCACATATAGCTAATACAGGAGCTTCATATACATTCAGTTCTTTCCATATAAATGTGAATGTGGGTGAGTAGGTTTAGCTGTGTCATAGTTTGTCTGCAGTCCTGCCTGCCTCCCTCTTCTCTTCATTCTTTTTAGATAAACATTTAGTCATATTCATCATGACTCAGCACATTCCCAGTTCATGTGCACACATTCCTTTGATTTTATCTTCCGAATTAGCTTTTTTTGTTTTTTTTGTAGAATTCTTCAGAAACATTGCCCCTTGCAGGTGCAAAAAAAGCAGCTTACATTTAGTGAAAGCCATTTAGTATGGCACCATGACAACAGCAGAGACAAAATAAAAGGTAAGGAGTTACTAGATTTACACCTTAAGGTGTGGTATTACGTTTCTTTTCTGTCTCCACCTTTCTAATTTCTTTGTCAGTCTCCTTGTCTCTCGCTTGTTGTTCTCACGATACCCGTGAAAGCTGTGTTTAGTTATCCGACATGTTCTTTTCTCCACATCCTGATTTAAGAGGTCACATGATGCTTGCGGACCTGTGTGCCTTTGTTCAGGTACATCATCAAGCAGTAACCTCACCCATATATATAAAATACTTCACTGTAGGTTAAGAATGTTGTAAAACAAGCCTTATTTGTATTTCATGAGCTGAACTAGTATTTATTATGATACATCAACTTAACCTGCAATGACATACTAAGGCCTGTTCAATTGACCCTTCCTGATTAGTAAGCTAGATAGCTAGCATTTTGCTGACATGAGTTAACTTAAGATTGTAAGACGTTATTGTATATGTCGCTTTTATCTTTAAACCATCTTCAAAGTGTCATTGTCTTTTTATCACTATGAGCCTATCTAAGTACAGGAAAGGAGAAAATTGATTCCAAAAAGGGGTGGGACTTATAGGTAGGGTCAATTGCAGTTGAACAAACACTTGTGTATAAGGGCCTTTCACATATTAAACTGACTAAGGCACAGGCTTCACAGTAAATAATAAGTAGAGAATATTTAAACCAAAAATCAAACCTGTTACCATGACAATGTGCGCTCATGTCCACAGACTGCTTTAGATTGTCAATATCATTGATTGAAGACTCCAAGCTGTATTGTTCTTATTGTAAGAGAGCTGCATTTAGAAGACCAGTTGAATTTTTATATGTTAAATGACTGCAAGTGCAAGACTCATCTCCACAGCAGGTGCATTGTGTGTGTGTATGTGTGTGTGTGTGTGTGTGTGCAGTGTGTGTTTTTATAGATGGGGCCTACTCTAGAAAAAGAAAAAACCCTCTTGGCTCTCATGTGCCTGCGGGTTTATCCATTGAAGTTGTCCTTTCTCACAGAGTAATGCACTATTTCACAGAATCACAGCAATTCCTGCAATCACTCACACAGTCAGAGGGAACAAAGAACAAGCTTGAGATAACAAACTGAGCGCTGAGAGAACAGCTTCCTACCAGCCTGGGTTCTGGTCCTGTGGGCATTATTTAGTGTTAAAGGTGCTTTTCCCACAAATTTCGACCAGTGGGACCCTGTTTAAAAGGGGCTTAGATTGTTGTTTGAGTGTAAGCTAACCCCAGGCTTTCTTGGACCCATACACACACATTTTAAGCTATCAGACTGTAGGCCTCAGTATTACAGACAATGGGGGTCTGTCTCTTGTTACAGATTGACACACACCTTGCCAGAAACGGCAGGGTGGAAGCCAGGAAACCAATATTTCTAGAAAAATTTGAAACCTCATCTCTTTCATTATCATTTTTTTTGTCGCCACTCCTTCCTGAAACATATCAGAATGAACAGAAAAGGATGGTGTATTGTCATCCTTCCCAGTTCACTCTCTCTTTACTGTAAAGTAGTACAGTTTAAGCAAAGGAAGCCCTGCTCCTCAATGATCATTCTTTGTCATTCAAACATACCAGATGTTACATTAATGTTATTGCTGTGCTTGTGGTTCCACATGCATTACGCTTTGATGCTATAACTACAACAATAATGGTATTTCTTTGTTGAATTGGTACTTGAGAGGAGAGAAAACAAACACACAGAGGAGGGAGGTCACATCAAAGTCCAGTGGCACTCCACAGCTGTATCGGCAAAGCCTCCACCTCTGCACCTCACTTAAGGTGTGTATTTTGCAACCCAATTAAAATGCCATTGATAAAGGGGAGTAACCTGGGAAGAGATTAGTGTTGGCAGAGTTTGAAAATTCTATTTAGTTTTTAAATTGGCTATAATTTTCCATTAATTGTGCTCAATTTGAAAGTTTTCTTAATTCTCATTTGGCCTGAATGATTTGCACATTTATCCTCAAGGGAATATTCATGCCTGCAGTCGTGGTTTTCGTTGCATGGTGCAATAGTTGTCACCAGTTTCAAGTTAGTGAGCATCAAGCAAACAAAGCATTGCTGCTAACACATATATGCTTGTGATTCCACATGCATATACTGTATATATGCAATCTAATCTAAATATGAAAATGCTACTAACATCCGTTGCTGGGAGGCAAAACTCTGCTTTGGTCTTGCATGGTCTCAAACTACAGCAATCTATTCTATCTATTTCTACCTGTATTTGCTCTGCACTGTTTACTTCCACTTGCACTCCAATCCATTGCACATCCATTTGCACTGTTTATTTCCACTTGCACTCCACTCCATTTGCACTGTTTACTGTTTGCAATGTGTACTGTAGCTACTGTTAATTTTATATATTATATACATACATAATACTTTATATCTTATCTTTTATCTTATTTTTGATTCTGTTCTGGGTATCTCTATTGATCGTGGTAATTCTTTCAGCCTGGTTCTTAAGTATCTAGGCTATATTAATTTTATAGTTTAATGTATGTTAAATGTATGTTGTATTTTGTTTCTACTGGATGCTTGAATTTCCGTCAGGATAAATAAGGAGGTAACCAACGGATTATCTATCTATCTTCCTATCTATCTATCTATCTATCTATCCATCTATCTATCTATTCTATCGTATCTATTCTATCTATTCTATCTATCATATCATCAATAATTTAGAACATCTGCTGGTTTTAGATTGTACTCTTACAACTCCAAAGCTAGTGTAAAGATAAATAAACATGATCATTGGGTGAGACATGGGGTGAGGGCTGAGTGGTCTGAGAGAATAAAAGGTCTTCTTGTGCCAAAATCAATGTGACCCATGATAAAACTGAATGTGAATTTAAGCTGTATTTGTTTTGGAAAAAAATATTCCATGATATCATCACCACAATAATTATGTTTGTTTTTTAGTTCAAGCACATACCAGTGCACATGGGCTATAAGGACCAAAAATATTTAGATAGATAAGATATAATACTTTATTGTATCCCGAGGGAAATTCAAGTATCCAGTAGCATACAAAATATACATACATTAAAAATACAAAACCTACATAAAATAAAATTAAAATAAAATAACTTATAACCACAGTAGACAGCTGTTGTGCAGAGGGTGGTGGGTTATTGTCCAGTATGGACAGGCAGTTTGTCAGGGGTCCTTCTCTCTGGCCAACTGTCACCAGAGATTCCAGCTCTGTGCCCACCACTGAGCCAGCTCTGCCGTGCACCAGTCCGTCCAGGATCGACCGGGTGATCTCTCTTCTTGCTGCTTCCTCCCCAGCAAACCACAGCGGAGGATGATTTTTCAGATGTTGAAGAACCCCAGACTTCTACAGGGAATGAGTTACAGGCGGCTATGCCCCTTTCTTGTGAAGAGTGCCCATATTTGCTAGTTGGACCGAGTCCGAGTGTACCAGTATCCAAGCAGACAGACACCCAGAGTGTGATAGCAGATATGATAATTAAAATACACAGCAAAGAAGAGCCTGGTTCACAAAAAGAATCTCCACAAAAGGTAGCATAAATTTTTCCCTAAAAAATAACTTAAAACACTTCATATAATGAGTGGTAAAATATGGACTTTGACTTTGTTAAAATTCTTCACCATAAGGTTCTACTTGTGTTATAAGTTAATTTTATTTTAATTTTTAATTCTATTTTAATGTATGTATGTTTCGTATGCTAGCTGGATACTTGGCATTTCCACTCGGTAAATAAAGTAATCTATCTATCTATCTATCATCTATCTATATATCATATCATCTATTAATCTATCTATCTATCTATCTATCTATCTATCTACTCTGTAGTTATTTTTTTTAATAAATAATTTATACCAAACATCAACAGACAATGTTGTGCCAATAGTTAAATGGGATGAGCATTCATTTAGAAATGAATATATAATAATATTTTGTGTGGTGTTTTGATGAATATAAGTATAGAAGCCCATCGCCGAAAAAAAAAGGATTGTGTTAGTCATTATAATGAGAAACTGACTTAGTATCTCAAAATACTAAGAACATTTCTTTGTGATTTGTAATTGACAACCGCTGCTATTTTTTCCAATTTCCTTAAGCACGCCCACTCACGCGTCACAGGGTGGGGGTGTCCACTGGACGGATAAAAAGCATTCGCTATGGAGAGGCGCTATTACATCAGGTCGGACGAACCAGTTTGAGCTAGGGACGTTTAAAGTGACTCCCGCCACAGTAACACTAATCTTTTTTCAGTGAGGGAGGGAGTTGCGCTCTTAGGATACATTTTCAGGGTAACTTTGAACGCGCGTAATGGCTGAGAAGATGGACATGGAGGAAGTGAAGGTGTCCAACGGCGAGCCTCTGGCGAACGGACTGGCCAACCCTAAGAGAGCCAACCCGGAGCCTCTCCCCCAGCGGGTGAAGAGGATAGTGATGGCTAACCTGCTGGTGATTCTCACCGTGGCCGGGGTCATCATCGGGGTTTTCATCGGACTCGGCGTGCGCAACGCGTCGCTCACCAGGACCCAGGTCATCTACATCGGCTTCCCCGGTGAGCTGCTAATCCGGCTGCTGAAGATGATCATCATCCCCCTGGTTGTGTGCAGTCTGGTGTCCGGGGCGGCCAGCATTGACCCTAAAGCCCTGGGCAAGCTGGGCGGCTGGGCCATGCTGTTCTTTCTGGTCACCACGTTAATAGCGTCCTCCATCGGGGTGGTGATGGCGTTCATCCTAACCCCGGGGTCGGTGTCGATCACCAAACCCAAAGTACAAGGCATTGATGACGAGGTGCCCGCCGCCAAAGAAGTGATAGACTCCTTCTTAGATCTGATCAGGTGAGTCGCCCCTCTCTCACCCCTCTCTCACCCCGTCAAACTCTACGTGACCTGCTCATAAAGGTAACTCAGTTGTGTTTATGGATCAACGCGGAAACAAGCGAGCTAATGTCAAACTCTTGCTAGGTTCCACCTTTTCTTTTAGTGTAAGCTTCTATTTACTGCCAATATGAAACTTGCAGTAAAAGCCACATGATCTACTTTACATTATTTTTTATTTGTTTTATACATAAAAGAAGTCCAAGTAGTAACCGCGGGCTAGTAGCCAGATGAGCTTAATTCGCCCCAGGGTGCTGTAATGGCAAAACGCAGTTGCATCAGCTCACATTAGTTCGAGCTAACCCCCCCCCCCCCGGG